TTTCTTTCTTTCTTTCTTTCTTTCTTTCTTTCTTTCTTTCTTTCTCTTACTTTGAAGTCCAGGCTGCTCTTGAACTTGTTATGTAGCTAGGAAGGACCTTAAACTTCCAATTCTACTGCCTCTACATCTGGAATCACAGATCTGAGCCACAACTGTCTGTAATTCAGAATTTCTTTTTCTTTTGTCTATTTGAGACAGGGTCCCCCTGTAGTCCCAGATGGCCTGGAACTCATTATGTAGACCAAGCTGGCCTCGAACTCACAAAGATCCTCCTGCCTCTGCCTCCCAAGTGCTAGGATTAAAGGCATGCGCCACCATGCCCAGCATTGTAATTCAGAATTTTAAAGATAAAGATTGAACTAAGCCAGTGTAAATGAATGAAGACATGCATCGACAAATCTTTAGGTTATAATAGTGACAGAACTTGGGAGATGTTGGAAATGCATGCAGGGGAACAGGCAAGCAGGACTCCAGCTTTGTAGTTGGGAATGAATGGCTGATTATAATGTCCCCAGCTGACAGAGATAACAACAGAGGGAGAGAGGGATGAGAATTATCTAGCTGGGGATATTTATGAATTCAGTTTGAAGGAGATACGATCAGCAGATAACAGCTACATGGCCCTCAGGGTAAAATTTCAGTGTCATGTTTTCTAATTTGGGCCACAAATTTGTAACAGACTCCAAACGAAGCCTCCATTGCCCCTCCAGAATGAGCTCTGGTGCTCCCAGTCCTGCTTGCTACTTCCTCTCCCATGATGTATTCGGGTAGAGAGATGTACAGAGGTAAACATTTCAAGATTAAGCATGATTTTTCTGAAAAGTATACAAAGTTGTCAGAAATCTTTTGGGGGATTATAGGAACTGAACATGGGACTTTGTACCTGCTATGCATATCTCTACCTCCTTCCTTTCCCCATCAAACAAATCTTACAATAAGAAAAGCTGTCCCCTGTATGAGTCACTATCATTCTCCAGAAACAAGTTCTTTAGCTCTTTCCTCTTATGCTGCTCTTTGTTGTCCCCAGGTTCTGTGTTCATATTCTGTCTCTTGACATCTACTGTAGCTATCAAGATTTTGTTTAAATAAAGTGTTTATATTAGCATTAAAGAAACATATGAACTAAGCTGTGTAGAAAGTTTAATAAGTTTTCATGTTTAGCCCAGCGTTTTCCTTCAGCTACATTTACTTTGCTTCTTAATTTGCTCAGTGTTTTAGAACTATCCTTCCTTTTTGAAAATATTCTAATGTACCTAATAAATTATTATTAATTTCCAAAATTTCAATTGCATAGGGGGAAAAAAATCCTCCTCTTCTCCTACACACACACACACACACACACACACACACGCACACATGCACGCACGCACGAATTTGAAGACCCAATTCCCAAGATCAGTAGATTCTAGGTCTGCTGAGTAGGGCTTATCCAAACCCTTACTATCCTTACTATCAGCGTGAACTTTGATCACTGTTTTGTTTTTATTTTATATTTTACTCTAGCAATTCCTTTAAAAGTTTTCGTTTAGCCTTTTCTCAGTTTTTCATCCTTGTATATCTGAAAACATCGTTACAAAGCCTGACATTTGAGAATTTGACTAGCTGTAGAAGTCCATCCTGAAGATGATTTTCTCAGAATGTAAAAGATATCTTTCCCTGAATCCTTGTGTTTAATACAGCTCCCTGGGCGGGGGGATTGACAGAAGCTATTTTTCACCCTTTTAGTAACTTATTCTCTATCTTTAGTCTGGAAATTTGGACTTTTTTCTTCATCTCCAGTATTCTGGAAATTTGTGACATTTGGTTTGCAGCTGTTTTGATTTGCTAGACTGAAACTCATTATTTTCTGTTTATGACACTTTTTTTTTTTTTTTTTTCTTTTAGAAAAAGGGGCTCCCTGTAGCCTCAGCTGTCCTGGAACTCACTATGTAGACCAGGCTGGCCTTGAACTCACAGAGATCTGCCTGCCTCTGCCTCCCAAGTGCTGGGACTAGAGGCGTGCGCCACCATGCCCAGCTTCTTTATGACACTTTTTACACTTTGTAATTTTATCGAAATTTAAATTCAATGAAGTTTATGCTTTTGCTGTTTTATCTTTTAAAACTTTCTATTAGAAGTTGTGCCTCTTGGATTTCTGCATTTCTTTCACCTGTTTTTTTCTCTCATTTTCCTCATGTTTCTTTCATTCTAATTTTCAGAGAAATTATCCTGAG